TTACTACCACTGAAATAATAAAAACTACAATAGATAAAAAACCTCTAATTTTGCAAAAGTGCTCGTAAATATTACATGCCGTATTTTTAATAAAAGCTATTTCGCACACGTGACTAGCGCGAAAGTAGCAATCTGCATCATAAAGAAGAATATTTTCCTGTATTTTAATCAGCGAGATATTAGCTGTGTGACAATCAACTCCTGGTCTCTCTCCTTTACCCAATTTACTTTCCCAAGAAATTGAAGGAAGTTAAAGGAAATTAAAAAAATCCCCGAAAAAGACACTTTGATCAGAAGTCGATCTCTCGTTCATTCAGACAATCTTCCAGTCTCGGCCGTCAGGGCACAACGTGTGAATTTCCTCGCATTACTCATCTGATATACAGATTTTCAAATTTAATTCGAATTTCAATGCGCGGTAATTTACACTTCAAGAAATACCTCGCGTCGCGCACACCTTCGCTCGGATCTTACGCGCATCCATTGTTTTCCCTCTTATACGCAGGTAAATCAAGTCTTATTTGTGTTTAACTCCGCGATGAAAGCACATATTTCGCGAGCTTAATGAAGATAAAGCTCTTACAGAAAATGCAGGTACGGAGTATAAAATATATCTCGCGCGCGCGCGCGCGAAACTCTGAGGAATCATAATGGAACTTGATATAATGGAACTAGAAAGTATGTTCCCATCGTGTGTACTGTTACGAAACAGACAAGTGTATGTACGCGGCACATATGTGTGTGTCTCTGTTTTTTCTTTCTTTCTTTCTTTCTCCTTTCCCGTGTGTGTCTCTCTCTCTCTCTCTCTCTTTTTTCTCTTGCTCCTTTTAGAAATAAGATGAAACGCGGCCTGGATGGAAGCGTCCCTTGTTGTTAACAACGGCTTGACCCGGATTATCTGTAATGGATCGATTGATTGCACCGACAGACGATCCCTTACATGACTTTTTACTTATACAGGACGACGCGGTAATTTGATCGAGCATTAGTTTCCCGAGTATTTGTCATATCCAACTTCTAAATGTCTTGACTTGATGAATCGTAGGAAGGTATATCGAACTTGGCGCAAACTCATTTCTCGCTCGCGACTTCTCGTCGAGATATTCTCGCCGAGATTCTCTCCGCCACCGAGAGATATATTTAACGCCACGAGGAAACGCGTTTCGCGAAAATCACGGTAAAGGGTGAAACGTTGACCGAATACATTTGCCGTTTTCATTAAATAGATTAAATCGGGGACAGAGCGAATCGAGAGATCTGTCAGTCTTTGCTCTAACGAGGCATGCGCCTCCGAGACGCAAGAGAGAGAGAGAGAGAGAGAAAGAGCGCACCAATCCTCTTTCCTTCCGTCTCTCTGAGACAAGAGCCGCTTTCAAGTGGACTTCCACTTTGAACCCTTGACGTCGGGCTTTTGGCCTCGCGTGAAATTAGACGACGAATCGTGTACATGTATGTACACATGCGCATGTATATTTCAAATCGCGAACTTTTATTTGACTCTACATCTCCTCCCAGAGTGGAAAAATCTTCGCGAAAAACTGGTCAAGGATTAAAAGCTGAGCGGTGTTGCAAAAAAATATTTAGAATTTCAACAATTTTACAATTTTTTCACATATTGATTCTATTCTGTTTGAAATTACGAGCTTTATATTTCACTTGTAAATAATTTAGAATGATTGCATATTTATCAAATAACTGCGTAAAAAATCTGTTTAAATGCACCGGCTACTAAATTAGTCGGAAATTAACTCTATTAAATAGATCAGAAAATAACAGCTAGAGAGTTTGTTCAATAAAAATTCGGATTATTATTTTCTCAGACTAGAATTTGATCTCAGTGTAAATTAGCTAATAGATAATAAATCAATAAGTAACAGCTACTTTTTATCCAGTGGAAAAACTCGAAATATTCCACTTATTACTTTTTTTTTTTTTTCCACAAATTAATCCTTCAATACTAGATACTGCGTCGATCAAAAGAAACAGATTGAAAGTAGAGACACTGGTTTAAAAACTTTCGGGATCTCGGAGACCCATATCTGGCACTGAAGGGTTAAGAACTGTGACTGGGTCAAACTAATCAAGCAAATGACAGCTGGTTTACGCCGAGCAACACTCGAAATATTCTGCTCGTTTAAACAAAAAAACAAACACAAAAGTACAAATCGCACACGGTGTTTTACCATTACGGTCAACCGCCAGAAAATTAACAACGCCAACATATCGCATGTGCAAACTGTATTTTAAAAGTGTAAATTAATTCAAATCCAAAACGACTACACACAGTTTTTCGAATTAAGTTTTAAATTACGTTATTAACTTAATTTACTTATTATTCCTCTCTCATAAATATAATGTCTTTCAAATGTTAAATATTTACAGGTTTGCAAAGTATCTCTTTGCGTATAATTGTGGCCAAAATTAAACACAGATACTCAAAGTAATGTTGTGTAGATGCCACGGCTGTTGATTTAAAGCTCGGCTCGTGGAGTTCCACTCATCGAATATTTTCACCGACGGCTTTTTCAGATAAATTTCAAGTAGCAAACAACCAAACGCTTGTTTGACAAACAACTGGACAGTGAAATTAACCAGTTTTAGCTACTTTTAGATTAATCTTATAATTATTTTTCATATACTTGTATATGAAATACTGAAATATAACCGAAACTACACATAGAGATATGATTCGATATAAATATTTAAAAAAAATTGAAGCAATCAAAACTGATGTCCAGTTGCTAGTCAAACAAGCTCCCACTAAGCTTAGCATTTTTCTAACTAATATTCCCGCCCAAATACTAACCGGTTACTGGCTATATTCTGTTTTAACCTCCGCTCGAGTCTTGAAATAAAAAATAGAAGAGCAAAACCCGATTAAATATTACGACTGGAATAGACGCGATGAAATGTTGATCGCGAAAAACTCTTCTTCACCGCACGGAGAGAGCGAGCGGAGTGTTACGTCATGTTGACGGAAAAAAACAGTGCGTGTGCATGCGGATGGCAACCCTATCCTCCGCTCATCGCCGAGGGAAGAGAGAGAGAGAGAGGGATAAAATTGTCGCGTGTTGTTGGAAAATCACGGAGGGTCGGGGAAACCAGGCGCCGAGACGTCTCGACGCCGTTTCGCTAACGTCGTCTTCTCCAGGCTCCGGTTTTCTTCCTCCGCTGCTCCTTCACCCTCCGCTCTCCCTGCCGTTTTCTCTTATCCCGCCGGTGTTTTTCTATTGATTCTTTCATCGCGTTTAGCCGACGCTACCTGTCGCTTATATTATTGCGTAACACTGCGTTACAAAACTGAAAGCTCACTGCATAAACCGTGTTTCTCACGTTCCTGGATAGGGTCTATGACAATCTATGGAAAAAATAAAATTATGTAACAAATCTCAACGCAACAAATTTTAACTCACGTGATATCAAACTAGAAAAAAATTATCCGATTCGAGATGTTTCCGTGTGCAAAGAGTATATTTTATTTATTTATTTATTTATTTATTTATTTAAACGGTTTATTTATTTAAATTAATACACATAATATTTCGAACTGAATTCAATTCGGAAACTCATCCAGACGCTTAGTTTGCATTACATGCAGATGAAATACCCTTCCGTGGAAATAAAAAAACTCATATTGCAAAAAAGACGCCGGGAGTTGAAACGATCGAACTCGCTGAAATTGTTGTGTAGCATACGAAAAAAAAAAAAAAATTGATTCGAAAACGAGAGACATTACGCGCGATTCGTTACGCGGTTACGTTCAAATTGAACTTTTCAGACGGAAAGTGTCTTTTAAAAGAGACGTCATACGCGATGCAAAGTGGAAACGACAGTCTTTTTTTTTTTTTATTTTTTTTTTTATTTATTTCTTTTTTGATACCGATATCCATGAAGTGTGCGAGAAATATATGTAGCGTAAGATTAAAATACTTTCGTCGGCGGGGATACGTCAGGAATGCGACGTCGACCTTCCTCGAGAGACATATTTCATTTCCACGTTGAGATATAAAGTCAGAGAGAAAGAAGAAATGGTTCTATATATGAAATATACATACCTCGTGTATGTGCATATGTACGTACATTTTATATATATACGCACACATACGTCCTGTACACACACACACACTCACACATACATGTACGGGAAGAAAGTCGTCGCGTTTTTTCGTAACCGTGACCTTCTTTCAATGATCTTGACGGAAAACGACGACGACGACGACGACGACGACGACGACGACGTTAAAACTCGATAAAAAAAATATTGTTGTTCAGTACAAATGTCATGCATTTGTATGAAAATGCAAATCGAAGAGACAGAAATGCAAATTCACGACAAATCCATAAAATTCCTCTATTAAGACGTAAGACCGAGCGTTGTTGAACGTTCGGAACAAACCGCGCCCGGGAATTTTGAGTCGTTACGAGATTTTCATGAAAAACATAGACAGGAGACAAAACTTTTCGCAGAATTCCGCGAACTCTTTTGTTCTTGTTTTCAGTTTGCTCTACAATTGCAAATAACTCGCCAATAAAAATTCCTCAAACCAGACGCGCGCTAGAAACAAATGACGTTTGACATTGTTCTCATGTCATTGAATTTCCGGTTTTCCGAAGCCACACACGGGCAAAAGATATTCTGATGATTCCGTCGTGCGCGCACGTCGTTACAAAGGAAACAAACAGATAAAAAGTATCACAGAAAGCGATTCACTCTCGTTTCTATGAAACTCTCTCTCTCTCTCTCTCTCTCTCCCTTTTGTCGAATGAGCGACTGTTGAGAGAAAAGTTGAAAACCGAGATTCTCTTCCGGAAAATGTAGTAACGTCAACAAATTTCTGAAGAACAGTTTTATTGCACGACGACGAAATATCAAACTCCTCTGCGAACTCCCATCTTTTTCCCTCGTCCCATTTTTCTCAAAATTACCTTTTTTTGTCGCAAAAAACTGCTCGCGAAGTGCAAAAAGCGTGATGTAACACCTGAGATTTTGTCGCTTATAGGTTCCTGTGACTTGGGATAGCGATAACAGCAAACTACCAAGATGGCTGCATTTGTGGCGAAGCAGATGGTCGGGAACAAGCTCAATGCGGTTAAAGGTAAGTGCTTTCGCGAATAACGTTCTTTGTTCGTGTCGCGCGAATTAACTTTGTTTTTGTAACGACGGCAGTCGGTCAATTAAAGCGCTTTTTTTTTTTTTTATTTAGTTCCGGTAACTCCAATTTTCTAGCGGCACGTTGCGCGACGTTGAAACAACGAGGAATTTAAATAACTCTGAAGAAGAAAGGATTTCAGTAATTTGTGTTATTTTCTTCGAAAAAAAGTCGGCCGTGTGAAATAGCGCTTCGGATAAATGCTGTTTCGTGAAGGTTCAAACGCAATAACGGGACGAACGAATCTGAAGATTTTTATGAGATAACCTTTTTTCTTTTTCCCTCTCTCTCTCTCTCTCTCTGTGCCAATTTCAGTGAGACGTGACCCCCGTTGATTTGCTCCCCGCAATTTTGACTCCGGAATGCAATATCACCCCGCACGATTATTTTCACTATCGAGCTCGTTTCTTTTTTATTTAATTCACTTTTTCGTTTAATTTACATCTTTTGTGTGTGTGTGTTTTACTAAGATACCAAAATTTGCAAAAGACGCGCACACGCATGTTTGCGGAAACGACCGAGAAGGGGCGAGATAAGTTCGAGATTAAAAATACACGAGAAGCGTTTGCGAGCACGCGTCGTATTTCGTCGGTCGCGCACGTTTCGTCTGCGTAATTATCGCGAAAAGCGAGAGCAGATCGGAACGAAAACGGGGCGGGGAAACCTAAGGCTATTACGAACGAACAAACATTATGCAGTAAAATAGAGAGTTTCATACATGTTGCAGATACTATTATCCTCGAGTATGCGCGTATTTCTCACTGATTAAGAGTCGAGTTTCGCTCGTGCGTTTTCACATTTTGAGAGATATATATTATATAAGTAAAACATTTAAAAAAGGCCGCACGAAAGTTCAACAAAGTGTAAAATGAAATGAAATTAAAATAAAAGTACAAAAATAATATAATTTATTTATATATATTAATAAAAGATCAAACAATAATAATAAATTTATTATTCTTTTGTATTTTCAAAGCCATTGTTCGGTCTTTTGTTAATGAACAAATTACAAATAAAAAAAAAAACAAACAAATCATCAACATCCGAATAACAAATGACCGGTGCGTGCTTTTGTGTCGACAAATTTTCACCGACGAAAAATTCATTCCCCCTTTTTTTTCAACGATGCGTTTATTTAGCGCGCGTCGCTCGTGGCGAATGTCTGACGCGTCTTGATTTTTCGAGAGATAAGAATCCCCCGTTTTCGCGGGAGAAAAAAAATGAGGAAAGAAGGGCTATTGTTTTCCCTAATAACGAGAACATCGATACTTTCGGATTTGAAATCGCGATCACGGCCGGAGGCTAGGTGAAAACGATGAAGGGGACGGAAGGGAAGGGGGAGGGGAGGTAAAATGTAACTCGCGACGAATCGCCTCCTCTCTCTTCTCTCTAGGATGTCGGTGGGTTGAACGATGGCTGGCAATAAAACTTCTGTCATTAAGCGAAAGTTTCAGCTTTCGCGTGCGACGAAGCGGGGAAGCGTGTCGCGGGGAATCCATAATGGGGAAGACGGGAAATGGGGGACTTTCCTCTCAAACCGTGAACTCGACTTCTACTTTGAATCTTTCTTTCGTTTAATGCCAGAAAGAAAAGGAGAGAGAGAGAGAGAGACAGAGAGAGAGAGAGAGAAAATACATGTATATGAAAGAAAATAGAGACTGTTAGTATCGTCGACCTACATTTCGACAGATTTGACTTGGCTTTTGCGTAGATACTAGATATTATAATGAATAGCGTCGAATGTATAAATACGAAGGAGCAGAGGATCAAGATCACAAACGAAACGCGACGGGAATTAGAAGAGAGAGAGAGAGAGAGAAAGGGAGAAAAGGGGAAATGAGAATGAATAGCGCGGCGGAAGAAGAGAAGCTCGAGCAACTCACAGACCACCTCCCAATTGCAGTCTCAAACTCAATGAGAGCTCATGACGGTTTTGCAAACCAAGCCGCCGCATTTAGAAGTTTGGGTCGCGCTAGTTACGCTTTCTCTCCCGCCTCTTTCTCCCTTGTTTCGTCTATACATTGCAAAAGCTTTCGGCAGCTTTTTCCTTGTCTAACAAAGGTTAATTGAAATCCCGCTAATCGATCGACCGCGACCTACGACACGACGAATCGATCGCCGAAACAAAACGAAACGAACAGACCGAGGGAGGGGGGTGAAGGACGGGAGAGAAAAATTCCGCGAGTGAATTATTTAAATTTTATAAAATTCTGCGAGGTAAAAAAATTGTTTTCCATGGTTATAATCTCGTTAAAGATTTATCGATTCGAAGTATTTCCAAGGCGACCCTATTAACTTTCCATTATTGGGTAAATGGTTGATCCGATAATACGGCGTAGGGGGAGGGGGATGGGATGTATCGCGCGCGATGGATATTAGCAAGCATAATACTTGAATCGACGATCATCTTCATTAGGGACATTATCATTCCCTCGCTTGTGAAACGGGAACGATTATTCAGCCGATATATCGCGATGTGACAGACAATTGTCCCAATTAATTATGCGCTTCGTGATTTATTCGCCTAGACATTTTCGACGAATTGTCATGATCGCACGCGCGCTCACACGCGCGATTGTCCTTCACTGTTATCGACAGGAATCTATTTTCGAAAACAATGCGGGACGCGACGCTCGATATCATCCGAAGAGAGATCGAGGGTGGAAAAAAGCGCCGACAAACACGTGCGCCAACTCGTCATCGCGCCCGCCCCTCGCAACGTGCTACGAACAATTTCGAGCGCACACACGGCGTAACAGATATATCGTGATTTATGCCCCGAGCGTAATTACACGGTTACTTGGGATAATTAACGTAATGATGTTACACGTTGTAACATCAAGGAGGGAAGGGATAGAGCAGGATATACCTTAATTGCGGAACTTTCGCTGATCGTTAGCGATTTCCTCGCGCGCGCGCGCGCGATATACCTGTTGCGATATAATAACGATACAATTATTATCGTAAATCGGAAGCATCGATTAGAGCGAACGACTTCGCTCGGTAACCGCTCGGTTAATTTGCACAATGCGAAATTTCGAGAGATCGCGGTCGACGAAAGAGACGCTTCGAGAGTCGATTTTTTTTAAATAGTTTTTTTTTTTTTACGTGAAACAATGACATTAAAGTAGTTTCAAAAACCGCTCGACCTTCAGTTTTAATTAGCATTTTGAATTTAAGACCTTTAATTAAAACAGAGACATTTAATACGAAGGCGTGTGTGATGCGCGCGTTGAACAATCTTTATCGTTTCGCATTTTCCTTGCAACAGCGGGACGTTTTAAGTAACGCATTAAATAGAAAATCAATTTGGTAATTAAATATTTAACGTTGCCGCATTTGCAAATTATTTGCCGGAATTATATACGGGAAAGCAAACACATTCACATCAATTAAATGAGAATAAACGTTTAAAAGATTCGTTCGATTTTAATTGGATTTTATTAAATGAAAATATTTTGCTTTCCGCACACGCGCGCGTAATATTCGTAGTTTGATTTTACACAGTGGATTAATAAATTTTTTTCTCTCACTCAAAGCGACGCGCGTTGTTTTCCACGTTATTTATGCGCAAACAACAGGTTATAAAAGAATCGAGAGAATCGATAAGTATTAAGGAAAAAAAAAACCATTTATTGAGCTCGTTGTTTAACGCTGTTAATGCGCGCGAGAGATTCTCAGACCGATAAAATTGAACCAACGAGCAACGTGCGTCCGGGAATTTAAAACAACACGTGCGTGCTTGATATAATTTACGACGCGACTCTCTTTAATGCTCGACTAATGATTTGTCATGTGATAGCACCCGAGGGGGGAAGGGGTAGAAAACGTTGAACGTATGGCGGCGCAATCTGTCGGCGAAACGAGCAAAAAAGTTCGTGCTCGATATATTTCATGCTCGCGTTTTTGCGATTGGACGTGCCCGCTCATCGATCGTTCCAGTTTTGGCTCGTTAAAAACCTCACACAGATGGATTTTGCAAGAAATAAACTCCGTTACACGTCGCGAAGAAAAAAAAATAGAAAACCTTGACACGCGAGAGCAAAGTGACGCGAGATTTTCCGATCCGCGAACCGAAACATCCTTGGCTCTTCTCCTCAACGTTTTCACAAGTATATGAGCGTACCGTCAGTTTTTTTTCTTTTTTTTTTCGAACTAGTTTTCGCGAGAGAATATTGCGCGTCGCTTTTTTCTCCTCCAAAATATTTTATTTACTTTTACCGGACAATTTATTCACTGTAAAAGCATCCACCTCGCCTCGACGGGAAAAAAATACCGCGATAAAATTTCTCATGCGCTGCGAATGTAACTTTTTATCGGACGTTTGTTACGCGGAAGTTTCATCCCATCTGAAACGAACGCCGCCGCCGCTTTTTTTCCAGTCGCGCGCGAATATTGAAATTTTTGCCATTGCCACCGACCGAGTTACCGTGTATTTCTATGCGAGAGTCGATTTATAGCAAGTTTGTTTTACACGCAACCGCACTACGTTTAACGATATTTAATTAAATCCCGTCTGCTAAAGGCGGAAACTTCTGTCGATAGTTCGTAACAGTTTGCAACCACTCTTACCACGGCCATCGGCCACGGTTCGTGGTGTGAATGGTCGTGTAGGCACAAAACTGTTATTTAGAGAAAGAGAGAGAGAGAGAAAAAGAGAGTCAATCAGAACGTTTCAGAGATAATCCTCGCCGGTCGCTTTTTATGCGACAAGAAAACTTCACGTCGGAGAAAAAGCACAAAGCGCGGGGCTTAGGAACATAGTCCAAGTCAACTTGGACTACGTAAGGAGAACACACGTGAGCGCGCGCAACGGATCGGAAAAACTCGCACAGTTCCCCTTAGTTTTAATTAAACATTAAAAAAACCAAACTTTAGCAACAGGTTTTATAAACTAAAAATTCCATATACTTTTAATTACTTAAATTCGCAACAGAGATTTTTCT